ATTAAAGAAATGAGAACTTTTCACTGAAAGGAAAAGGAAAGTGAAAGTTGCATCTGAATAACTCAGCTGCAGTTGAAAGCCATCCACTTATCTCTCCAACAAAGAAAACAACTGCTGCAGGTCTTTCCTGGGCTGCTGCATATCCCCGCTAAGTGGTCAAGTGACAGCAGAGAAAGGCAAGAGCCAGGGCCAGAGAAGGTGCTCACGGAGATAATGGAAGCCCAGAGAGCGTCGATCACCAAAGGGGAGTTTACCTCCCTTACACACTTGCTGCAAAGCTTCCTGGGTCCCGGGAATGATGTTAGATTCTGAGGGCACCAAGATGCTTAATACATGGCCCCACCATTTCAAGAGGGGAAAGCCAACAGGACTGAATGCTGCCAAGAGGCTGGAGAGGACGGGCCAAGAAAAGGCCATTGGTTTGTTGACCAAAAGATCACAGCTGACCTCTGAGAATGCAGCGCAGTGGAAGGGCTGGGATGGAGCCAGCTGGAGGGAGGTTAGACAGGGAGGAAGAAAGGGAGGCAGGAGACGTGGGCTCTCATTATGTACAGCACTGACAGGAAGATGGTAGGAATGGTTTGGAGACTTCAAGTCAAAGGTTAGACTGGAAAAGAGCTGAGGGCTACAAATGCATGTTTAAATAATTTATTAATCTGGAAAATAATAAAAATTCATTCCCCTAAATGCAGTAATTCTGCTTATAGGGCTCTAGCCTAGGAAAATTATCAGGAATGCAAGATTAGGAGAGAATGATGAAAGAACTTTAACTCTTTATTTTATACACTTACATAGAATTTCAGGTTTCTACAGTAGCATGTGTCTAATCCTTTTAAAATGAAGATTTGTAATGCTAAAAGGGAGAAAAATTTGCAGACATCTATACATAAAATATTCGTAACATGCATATAACAAAACACAGGAAATGGCCTTAATGTCCACTATTAGGGGAATACATAGGAAAATTGGGATGTAATTATTCAAAGTGTTTTTGCAACAAGTCAAAGAAAGTAATGAAAAATATACAACATGAAAAAAATTCATCAGTTTGGTGAGGGAAAAAAGCCACAAATGTAACAAAGGCTATAATTGCACTATGAAAAAACATGCATAGAAAAACAGACTGAAAACCAAACCGGACACATGGGAGCCCTTAATAAAGGCTGTGTTCCAGCCTAGAATTTGAGTGGCTTTCTCTGCTCTACTTTCTAACATGGCCGCAAAATAACATGATTTTACCACCGCTTTTCTTTTTAAATAGACACATCCCATGAAAGAAAAACCAAAATGACGCTGTAACAGCTAAGGCTTCAGAGTAGCAAATGGGGCCTGGAGACAGCAGCCTCAGCACCCAGCCCCGCCTGTGGATGCTGCAGAAACACAGCAGAGTGGCTCGCACACTCAGCCTGGCCCTGAGCCTCCCTCTGCCACCTCACCCAAGAGGAGGGTCTGGGAAAGGATCATCTCTAAAATTCCTTCCAGGTTTAAAAGTGTATGATTCTAGGTTGAGAAGAGTGACGTGCATTTCTCTAGTTTCCCACATAACACAGTATACCAGTGGTGGGGGGCAAGGGAAGTCTGTGTATTCAGTTTTATTGCTTACTCCATATAAAACAGTATGCATTTAATGAAATCTTACTTACTACTCAAGAGTTTTAAAAAGTGCTTACCTGTAATCCCAGTACATTGGGAGACCAAGGTGGGCAGACTGCTTGAAGCCAGGGGTTTGAGACCAGCCTGGCCAATAATCCTGTCTCTACTAAAAATACAAAAATTAGCTGGGCATGGTGGCCCGTAATCCCAGCTACTCGGGAGGCTGAGACAGGAGAATCGCTTGAATCCGGGAGGCAGAGGTTGCAGAGAGCCGAGATCACACCACTGCACTACAGCCTAGGCAACAGAGTGAGACTGTGTCTCAAAAAAATAAAGATTTAAATTTAAATTTAAAAACATGCTTACAAATTGCTGGAAAAAAAATCCAGGACATGGCTGTAAAGTTAAATATTATTTCCAAGTAAAATAATAATATAAAACAAAACTGTTTCAGGGAACCGGCGAGGCCACATGCTGAGCTGCCCTGTCAGCGGCAGACGGTCCCTTCTCTAGGAGTTCCAAGAAGAGTGGACACCGGGCTACAGTGCTAGAGGACCTCTGGGAGGAGACAGGACTGGAGTAGGCCTTAAAGAATGGGTTCTGGGTTTCTTTTTGAGTTGATGAAAATGCTCTGGAATTAGATAATGGTGTTGGTTGCACAACCTTGTAAATTTACTAAAAAAAAAAATCACTGAATTATACAATTTGAAAGGGTGAATTTTATGGCATGTGAATTATACAGTCATGTGTCACTAAACGACAGGGATACATTCTGAAAAATGCATCCTTTGGCAAGTTTATCATCGTGCAAACATCATAGAGTGTTCTAACACAAACCAGATGGCAGCCAGGGTACATGAATGGCCAGTATCATGTATGGGGCCCATCACTGATTTAAACGCTGTTATGCAGCATATGACTGTATCTCAACTAAAAAAATGATGCGGTCAGAGGTAACTAAATAAAACAGTGTGGAAAACCAAAGGTACACTTGACAAGAGTAATAAGGAAAAAGGTAGCTTGGAAAGAAATGTCAAATAACTCCGAATGTGAGGAAAAGTTAACTGGAAATTATTTGTAAGACTGTAGGGTAAACAAAGACTCATGGACAAAAGGGTGAATAATCAAACGCTTTGGGAAAAAAGTCTGTTTCCCCACTGGAAAAACAAGCCTCAGGTAGGCAGGGGCCAGGTCCTGTTCACATGATGGGTATTTGAGTGTCAAATGCGTTTATGAAAGAGTGACTATTTTCAGATTTCGCTGGTTTAAGTAAAAAGAAGAGTGGGGAAGAACCAAGACTGGGTCCATCATGAGGTTCACTGCAATAAATATCAATCTGGGCCTATGCAACATTGCCCCAAACTAGGAACACTGACACAGAAAGCTGAAAAGGTGAGAAGAGACTCTGCAGCAGTCTTTGCTCTCCATCAACGATGTGAAACGTACCTACTGGGTGTAAATGCAAAAATCCTTCATAGTTTAGCTCTAGGTACCTAAAACTAAGTCTCTGAACAGACTCCACTTGTGCAAAAGAAAGAGAAAAAGGAAGAAAAGAAAGAAAATCAGAGAAACACAAGGTAAGTACAAGAGAAAGAAGGGGTGAGATGGCCACTGTCTCTTTAAGAAGCTCCTTGGAGATACATAACTGTAGAAAGCCTGGCGAATTCAGCATTGATTGGGAATGAGGTAACCACAAACACCGCTGTCTCAAATGAAAAGGGATTCAAGATCTGACCCAGAAAACAAGCATCGCAACCACCAGATAAAATTTTAATGATAAACACAAGATGCTCTACATACAAGCAAGAGTGAAGTCTCTCATGGTAAGCCATCAGTGTAAGGTTTTCTTAGAAAGAGGAGCCGCAAGGAGCCTCTCTGACCCACAGATCAAGTTTCATCCTATTGATCCGCAGAACTCGGCCATCATTTTGCTCTGCGCTGGCACGATCTGTAATGTTGAACAGACCCCGAGGGAACAGAGAGGCGGGGAAAGAAGGACTGGCATCTGGACTCGTAGGGGGCCTGCCCTTCGGGAGCTCCACAGAAGAAATTCATAATTGGCTTTGAGATGAAAGGTTCTCCTTTATTTTTAAGTTCTTTTGCGACTCCTTCAGTCTAGTTTCAGCATTCTCAAGTGTCTTCTGACACTCTAGGCAGAGATCCCTTTAAGCTGGAATGATCTAAGTACCTTTTGGAGTTCCCACCAAATTGTAGCATTTGTGGGTAGAAAGGAGCTGCGTATCAGGTGATCGTAGGCCCACATTTTGGCAATTAGGTAGAGAAGTCCAACGTGCACTGATAACGTAATGGACAGGACTGCAGGTATCTGGACCATCCATCTTTCTACAACTAGTTCAGCAGCACTCCCAAGAAAGACTTTCACGTCTAAATCATAGCCAGGAAAACAGAAGCTGAGGAAAAGCATTCCTCCTGGGTACATCTTGTTTAAAGCAGAAATACTTTTTTCATAGGCACTGCGTACCACAAAATATTAAAATAAACCGACTATTTGGGATTTCTATTCAAAAGGTGTTCTTTAAGGAATGCTGTTTAAGGAAAGATTTTCCTTTAGAGAAAAGTACTCCTCTACCACTGAGTTTTCAAGGCCAAGGTTGGTTTTCTTTTCCCTAGGCAGGAACTTCCCTGAATCACCTCATTCCGTATCTGGTCCAGACTCAAAAACTTAAGTGTTCTGGTCTCTACTTTATCGCATGAAGTACACAATCTGAGGCTATAGTTCATGACATATTCCTAACCCAAAAGGAAAACTGATCTTCTTATTGTACAGTAAATAAATATATAAATGTACCTCTGTAGCAAAACAGGAAGACTTCATCAAAGTGGTTTTTGGGACAGAAGCTGAAGGAATTTACAGAAGCTAAAATTAAATTTCTTGGCCATGGAGACTAATAAAAAAAAAAAAAAAAAACCTATTTCAGGACAACTTAAGTAACAAAGACAAACTATACGGCGGGGAAGGAAGATTATGTGCGGTCACAGCCCTTCCTCACAATAAGGGTTTCAGAAAAAGAGAATGAGAACAGGGCCTGTCTGTGCCAACACTTATTATTTTTGCTTGACTTTTTTATGTCTTCATAAAATACAAACTGTTTGCCTTAATGAAAATCTCACATAACATGCCACAAGAGTGATTTAAAAGCTGGGAAAGACATATTGAGACAAATGGATCACAGATCCGCTCCGCACCATGTGCTTCTCACCCTTGCTGCAGCGCTCCCACGTCCTCAGGAACAGAATCACGAAGACTCTCCCTCCTCCACATGGGCTGTAACTGAGGGAGGTACACGCTCTCAAGGGAAGCTAAGGTCACTGCTGCTTAGAGAGTGGTACGTGAAAAATGAAAGACTTTCAGATGCAGAGCACTCAGCAGAAACAGTTTTGCTTACCCAGCAATGACCACGCCATTGTGAGAATGCACATCACACAAAACCGCGTCAGGAATGTGCTCCAGCTCGCTCACGGCACCTTTGCGGCTCTGCATGAAGAAAAGGGATGCAGTTTAGACTATTCTTGGGACAGCCCGAAAGCCAAGCATTGCGCTTTCACCTACTTTCCACAGCATTTCTCTATAGCATGGACAGCACTGCATACAAAGTTCTGTGGGCATTCAAAAGGACAATGATGATGCCTAATATGCTAGGCTGTTAAGCATGTGCGAGCTACCACATATCCCAAAGGCACTAACTCGAGGACACGGGCTGTGTGAGACTCTGCCCCTGTCCTCCAGGAGGTTACAGAATAGAAAAGAAATATGTGCTCACCAATAACTACCATCCACAGTAGGTGGGCACGTATCTGCCGGGAGTGGTGAGTATCTAAAGAAGCTTATAAAGTATTGAAAAAGTTCAGTGCAGCAGAGAGAAAGTATTACATGATACCTTACCTGTTAACTCTTACATGGACTCTCAGAATAAAATGCAAAATTGTATACAAATAGATAAAAGATCAGGATGAGGAAAGGAAAAGAGGTGATACTATTTCTAATTGAGAGGTCAGAAGTTTCATAGAAATGGTATTTAAAGGAAACCCTAAGCCAGGCACAGTGGCTCATGCCTGTAATCCCAGCACTTTGGGAGGCAGAGGCAGGAAGATCACTTGAGCCCAGAAGTTTGAGACCAACATAGGGCGACCCCATCTCTGCAAAAAATTTAAAAGGTAGTCAAGTGTAGTGGCATGCACCTGTATTCCCAGCTATCTGAGAGGGTGAGGCAGGAGGATCACTTGAGTCCAGGAGCTTAAGGCTGCAGTAAGCTACAACTGCAACACTGTACTTCAGCCTGAACAACAGTGAGAACCTATCTCTAAAAAAATAAAAAATTAAACTGAATTAAAATGAAGGGAATCTAAATGGATAAAAAGTATTTACAGGTGGGAAGTTGGGAAAAGTTAAGCCACAAAGCATGAATAAAGGTATTCAAGAATCCCATAATTTCAACTTTACCAAACTGGGACAAGGACTAGAAATAGCGCCAGTGCCCAGCACAGTTCTTAACATACAGACAGTGTCCAATAAGTGGTAGCCATTATTATTATTTCTACTAATAGGAAAAAGATGACATCATTCCATTAAAATACACATTTATTAAGCACCTAGACTCCAGAAACTGAGCAAAGTAATTTGCATGATGGTCTTAACTTAATCCAAGGAATGAGTCTAAGTCTGAGAGGCGAAACTGGACACATCCACATGGAGCCGTCCTGCAAGTGTACATATGGGGAGGAACGGCAATGAGCTGGGCATCGGCTGTGTGAGGGCCACAGCCAAGGGTACAATAACAGAAAAGCTCTTGTGAGGGAAAAGGTATTGAAAGGAAAAGAAAGGGCCTAAGATGAAAACCTGCATTTATGCCAACACCAGGAGAAGGAACACTATGGCCACCACAACCAGTTTACCAAATCATTTCCAGGTTGGTTCTGAACTGCACTTCCAGGTAAGTTCACGCATTTACAGGTCATTCCCTTTGTGGAGGTACCTGAGAACCCTGGGTCCCTTCTAGGGTCTCCCCAGACACTGACTTTTGAGGTATCAAACCAAATCGCCTGCCTAACCCATCCTGAAGTCGAGCACGCATAGCACAGAACCCTGCATCTGTGTGCAGAGGCCTATGCGCTCCTACAGCCAACCTCGCCTGAGCGCAGAGCGTGGAACAGGCTCTGCAGGAGGAGTGGCAGACGTGTGATGACAGTTATCCTCACCAGGATGCCATGAGCAGTGCCACTCCTAGCCCCACTCTAGAGATGAGAAAACGGAGGCAGACAGAAGTAAAACAACTTGCCCTAATACTGCCTTTCTTTTTTTTCTTTTTTTTTTGAGATGGAGTCTCACTCTGTCACCCAGGTTGGAGTGCAGTGGCACGATCTCGGCTCACTGCAACCTCTACCTCCAGGTTTCAGGCAATTCTCCCACCTCAGCCTCTCAAGTAGCTGGGATTACAGGTGCCCACCACCACGCCTGGCTAATTTTTGTATTTTTAGTAGAGATGGTGTTTCACCATGCTGGCTAGGCTGGTCTGGAACTCTTGACCTCAAGTGATCCACCCACCTCAGCCTCCCAAAGTGTTGGGATTACAGGAGTGAGCCACCGTGCCTGGCCGCCTTTCATGTTTTGATAAGGCTTTCTTTCACTCCAGAATTTCGGTAAGATTCCTATCACTACATTTAATGAAAGATACATCATTTAAAATTTCACTCCTGGAATTCTCCTTGTTAACAGTGTCAGGATATGGAGCTGAGACGCTCCAAACAGAAGTCTCCCTCATGTTTAATTCAGCCTGCAGTCCGCTCTACTCCATCAACAACCAGGTAGTGAGTACTTACCTAACAGATGACTTTGTGTTCATTAGAAAGAAATAATAAATAGACATTCAGTTAGACTATACATAACTTGTAAAGTGTTACTAAGTGCCAGATGCTAGGTGGTGGGTCTTTAAAACATCTTCACTTCTGTCACCTCCAGACCCAATGAGGACACACCTGTCCCCTTCCCTTGCTTTATTACCAAAGAGGAAGCAAAAAACACACAGCTGCTGCTTTTCTCTATCAGGGTCTGATATCTTTGAATTCAAGCCTGGGGACACCAAATATCTCCAACTCTCCTGCCTGTAAATCTCAGAAGCATCCCTCCTTTCTGGAGAGAAGGGCCCTGTTAACACTCAGCTCTCAAGCTTTCCTTCAATCACAGCCCCTCCCACCAGGGTTAGACCCTCTGCTTTCTGGCCCCTTGTTTGTCTGGGCAGCTTTCTTTGTCACATCTTTCTGCCTGTGTCCATTACGTGGACCTACCCAGGCACACAGGCAAAAGGAAACAGGGGCTTCCTCCAGATGAGTTTATTACCTTAGGTGAATAGAAACAGGCACTGTGGGCCAGCATGACTCAGCTTAGCGGTGGTGCCTTAATGGTCTAAGAAAGGATAGCCACACTAACCCTCAGAACAGTGGTTCTGGACTTGGGGGGTTTGACCCCCAGGGGACATCCAGCAATGTCTACAGACATTTCTAGTTGTCATGACTTGGGGGAGGAGGAGAATGCTACTGGTGTCTAATGGGGAGAGGCCAGAGATACTGCTCAACACCCTGCAATGCACAGGACAGCCCCCCACAAAAAGAATTATCTGGCCCCAAATGTCACTAGTGCTGCAGTTGAGAACCCCTGAATTAGAGAGACATCGCTCTTATTGACTTTGCCAGAAACCGAGTGAACCTTCCCAGATCAAGCGTATCGGTCACTAATCAGGTTAGGAGATGACTAGGGACAGACAGGCACATAGGCAATATGTCACTATCAGTAATGCACAAAAGCTCGTTAATCTCAAAGTCTATTAGGATTGACCTTTATGGGAGGAAAGAGAATGGTTCCATACCTTCTCTACCACTGAATCTCCAGCCTCTCAGGTGGGAAAGAAACACTGTCACCACGCTGCTGCCTCGTCAGGCCTTGAACAGCTTTATGTAACAAGGCTCTTGACAGTTACCTCCTATGGAAACACTTCACTGCGCACATTCTTAGCTGTGATCTAATATTTCTGTAGAGACTCTGAAGTGATAAATGTTATGGAAGCACGCCAGTAGGTTACGTGAGGGAAGAGAAGACCGTGCTTAGGATGTTTCATCATCTCCCTCTTACATTTACTGGAAATGGCATTTTCAGCTTCTCTTTTGTATGCAGGTAGTGCTTTTGCTTTCCGGGTCCTTCCGGAGAGTCCGTGACAGTGAAAGGGGCTTCACAGAGCACTCCTCTGACCACCCTAATATCAGAGAGGAAGAGGCTGGTAACCCAATCTCACCCTTCCTCTCCTGCAGAATAAGAGGATGATCCCAAATTTTGAGGCTGAAAATGGAGGCCGATCATATAATCGGGAACAAAATGGGCAACAAGTCACCAACAGCTGAAGGGGCAGCTCAGCGGACCCCCTCCCTTCACTGTTGGGAATTAATCTCAGGCTATGTGCGAGAGCTTGGATTCCCACGTCCTTGCAGGCTATTCTTTCCCAGGTAATTAGACTGGCCACTCCCACCTTCCAGTTGGTTCGTAACATGTGTTCCTTGGCTTGGCATTCTTGGAAGATGAGCTTCCAGCAAGAATAGTCGGAGATGCTGCTATCCGGAAGGTGCCCTTCCTGCCGGCACAGCCTGTACCACAGCACCTCATCCTCTGCAATCACCTTCCACGTCCTGCTCACCTAAAACAGCAGAAGTGACACAAATGTCAAATTCTGCAATTAGAGAAGCCCTTTTTCATCCAAAAATCAATCAACACCTATATTATTGCCTGGGTTTATGGCAGGATAAAATGTCTCATTAACAAAACACGGTGAAAAAAATATACAAGCAAATTTTTCCAGTTTTATCCTTCAAGATTTCAAAATTGTTGTACCACCATGTAATATCACATTTTAGACTACTCGGTTAAATTGTAATCTAACAAATAAGAGAAGAAAACACACAAATACGTAAAATGCAAAAACCACAAACTTTCATGTGGTAATTAGCTATATAATCATACAGAGCTTTTCAGAACAGAATCTCTTTACTTTTAACAAACAGCACTTGTATTGCCACCTTATAGAATTGAAAGTTGATGGCCTCTGAAATCAAAGGCTGTCATAAAATTACCCATAACCCAAGCTCCTGGTCATGTAAAAAATTCTAATTTAAATTGCATGTGAGAATTTAGATTTTAAATATACATATGTTTAACTGAAAACTCAAGCCATTAGCCAGGACGGTAAGATCAGATTTAGAAAAATTAATGTTATGTCTGGCCTGACTTTCAAATCCCAACAGTATCCAGAGGAAATGGCCATTTTAACTATTAGCACTTTGTTTTCCAACACTAATTTAGGGGAACAATGGATTTACTTCATCATAGGATAATGTGCAAAGTTGGCCAGACTGCAAAAGATGGCCTCTGTTGGCAGATGGGACACTGATCCAGCAGATCAGCATGATTCAGGTCTGCAGAGCATTCTGGGAATGCGGGAACAAGTGCCTGATGCTTTCTGTCCATCCAAAAGTTGAGACTCGGTTCTAATGAAGAGTGGTGACCAGTAGGTTACAGTACGCTGTCCTCTTTAATGCTCCCTTAGGGCCACTTCAAGACTCAGAGACAGAGACAGGAAGAAGGAAAATGAGAGAAAGTAGAGACCAGACTCTTACTGCACAAAGGGCCTTGGCTGATGAAGCACTGACAGAGTTAGCTTTCGGGATGGCAGAGTAAAGACCTCCAAAGACCTGCTCCTCCATAATGGCAGTAAGAATTCTGCCAAAAATGATCACAATCAACTTTTTCAGAATCTGGAAAGTAATAAAAGGATTGCAACATTCTGAGGAGCATTCATCCAAGAAAAGTGGCTGAATGTCAGTAAGACCAGTGACGTCTGAGTTGTTTTCATGTGTGCTAATTCAGTTTCCTTCTCCAGCTCCAGGACTGCTTAAAAATCAACAGCCTCATGAAGATGGCAGCTGTAAAAAAACAGCAGGCTGGCAGCCATTAGAGAGGCCACATAAGTTTAGAGCTCCCCCAAAATCAAATCCCCAGAGAACTGTCACCATTTGACCCGGCTGGCAGCTTGCCAGAAAGCTCTGTTCTCAAGGTTTGTCTTTATCTAACCTGGCTGAGCACTCTCTCTGTCCTATCTCCAGGGCATTTGCCCAAAACAGTAAGCGGAAACTACTTAACTCTGCAGCTGCCTGGAGTGGCATTGTCAGCTGGGGCTAACAAGAGGCTGACCAAAAAGCTTGAAAGAAAAAGCTGAGAAAAGGGATGTCCACAGGGGGCTCTGAAAGGCTCTAATATATTCCAGGGAGTCTGGAATGCCATATGAATGCACAGGGCTGTGTGTGTGCCCAGGAAAGACCTGAGAAGGTCCTAACCTCTCCCCTCTGGCTGACCCTGAGGCTCTGCACAAGCAGGAAGTGACGGCTAAGGCAGAGCTGTAAGCTGCTAGAATGGTGAGGCAGTACCCCAATATACAGAAAGCACCTCAGCAAAGGCTGGGAGACTTACTGCTTCAATGGATTTAAGGAAATCTCCATTTGATCACTAGGTAACCACTAAGCTAACCAACCAGAGACTTCAGTAGCTGCACATAATAAAGAAAAAAAATTAGAGAATTAGTCCAGAGAAATCACTAAACAAACAGCAGCAACAACAAAAATAACAACAGCAATAACAACAAATTCTGCAGAGAGAGAAAGATTTTATTTCCAGAGTTTCCATCATTTAAAATGTCCAGTTTTTAATAAAATTACAAAAACATGCAAAGAAGCAAGGAAGTAGGGCCCATACACAGGGAAAACAGCACTCCACAGGAACTATCCCTAACAAAGTCCAGACACTAGACTCACTAAAGAGAGACTTTAAATAAGCTATTATAAAAATGTTCAAAATACTAAAAGAAAGCATGTCTAAAGAAATAAAAGAAAGTAGAAGAACAATGTATTACTAAACAGAAGATATTGATAAAGAGACAGAAATTATCTGTTAAAAAAAAATAGAAGGACTTAGCAGGATGCAAGATGGCCGAACAGGAACAGCTCTGGAGCGCAGTTCCCAGCAAAAACAATGCAGAGGGTGAGTGATCACCGCATTTCCAAAGAAGTCAGTACTGCCCACAGACCAGGAGATTCCCAGGGTGAAAAGCACCACGAGTTTCCAGCACGGCTGCTTCAGGTGGTGCAGCGGGTCTCCACATAAAAACTCACACAAATCTGGGAGGCCATTTCAACTGGCACCTGGAACGCCTGGGAGACAGAGTCGCCCATTCAACTGAAAAAAAGGGGGCTGAAACAGGGAGCCAGGTGATCTGGCTAAGCGAGTCCCACCTCCACAAAGACCAGCAATCTGAAACGCTCTGGATTGAGAGTTTTGCAGCAAGCATAGCTGGACCCAGGACAGTCCAGGTCTGAGCGGGGAAGGGTTTTATCCGCCATTACTGAGGCAGTCCACCATTACTGAGACAGACCACCATTACTGAGGCAGTTCTAACTATACCTCCGTAAACAAAACCGCAAGGAAGTTCATACAGCAGCTGGACAGAGCCCATGGCAGCTCAGCAACGCCTCTGCTGGCAGACTGTGACTGGGCTACCTCCTTGCTGGGCAGGGCATCTCTGAGAAGAGGCAGCAGCACATCAAGAACTTACAAATAAAGCCCCATCTTCCCAGGACAGAGCACCTGGGAAAAAAGGCAGTTATGAGTTCCGCTGCAGCAGACTTAAACGTACCTGCCCAGCAGCTCTGAATGAAACAATGGAGCTCACAGCTCAGTACTTGAGCTTCTATAAGGAACAGACTGTCTCCTCAAGCAGCTCCCTGACTCCCATATATCCAAAGAGACACCTCATAAAAGAGAGCTCAAGCTGACATCTGGTGGGTGTCCTGAGACAAAGATAACAGAAGAAGAAACTGGGAGCAACCCTTACTGTTCTGCAGCTGCCGCAGGTGATCCCCAGGAAAGCAGAGTCTGGAGTGGACCTCCAGCAGTCCTACAGCAGAGGGGCCTGACTGTTAGAAGGAAAACCAAAAAACAGAAATAACTTCATCATCAACAAAAAGGATGTCCATCCAGAGACCCCATCTGAAAGTCACCAACTATAAAGACCACAGGTAGATAAATCCACAAAGATGGGAAGAAACCAGCTCAAAATGGATGAAAACACCCAAAGCCAGAATGCCTCTCCTCCTCCAAGGGATCACAACTCCTCACCAGCAAGGGAACAAAGCTGGATGGAGAATAAGTCTGATGAATTGACAGAAATAGGCTTCAGAAGGTGGGTTATAACAAACTTCTCTGACCTAAAAGAGCATGTTCTAACCCAATGCAAAAAAACTAAGAACCTTGAAAAAAGGTTTGACGAAATGCTAATGAGAATAAACAGCTTAGAGAAGAATATAAATGACTTAATGGAGCTGAAAAACAACATGAGAACTTCGTGAAGCATACACAAGTTTCAAAGGCCATATCAACCAAGCAGAAGAAAGGATATCAGAGATTGAAGATCAATTCAATGAAATAAAATGAGAAGGCAAGATTAGAGAAAAAAGAGCGAAATGAAATAAACAAAGCCTCCAATAAATATGGACTATGTGAAAAGACCTAATCTACGTTTCATAGGTGTACCTGAATGTGACGGAGAGAATGAAGCCAAGCTGGAAAACACTCTTCAGGATATTATCCAGGAGAACATCCCCAACCTAGAAAGGCAGGTCAATATTCAAGTCCAGGAAATATAGAGAACACCACAAAGATATTCCTCAAGAAAAGCAACCCCCAAGGCACATAATCGTCAGATTCACCAGGGTTTAAATGAAAGAAAAAATGCTAAGGGCAGCCAGAGAGAAAGGTCAGGTTACCCACAAAGGGAAGCCCATCAGACTCACAGTGGATCTCTCAGCAGAAACCCTACAAGCCAGAAGAGAGTGGGGGCCAATATTCAACATCCTTAAAGAAAAGAACTTTCAACCTAGAATTTCATATCCAGCCAAACTTCGCTTCATAAGCGAAGGAGAAATAAAATCCTTTACGAACAGGCAATTGCTGAGAGATTTTTGTCACCACCAGGCCTGACTTACAAGAGCTCCTGAAAGAAGCACTAAACATAGAAAGGAACAACCTAAAATACATACCAAATGGTAAAGAGCATCGACACAATGAAGAAACTGTGTCAACTAACGGGCGAAACAACCAGCTAGCATCAAAATGGCAGGATCAAATTCACACATAACAATATTAACCTTAAATGTAAATGGGCTGAATGCCCCAATCAAAACACATAGACTGGCAAATTGGATAAAAAGTCAAAACCCATCACTATGCTGTATCCAGGAAACCCATCTCACGTACAAAAATACACATCGGCTCAAAAAAAGGGATGGAAGAAGATTTACCAAGCAAATGGAGTTGCAACTAGGAGTTGCAATCCTAGTCTCTGATAAAATAGACTTTAAACCAACAAAGATCAGAAGACACAAAGAAGGGCATTATATAATGGTAAAAGGATTGATGCAACAAGAAGAGCTAACAATCCTAAATATATATGCACCCAATACAGGAACACCCAGATACATAAAGCAAGCTCTTAATGGCCTACAAAGAGACAAACTCCCACACAATAATACTGGGAGACTTTAACACTCCACTGTCAATAGTAGACAGATCAACGAGACATAAAATTAACAA